CGGTTTGGCTCAGTGGTAGAGCGTCGGTCTGCGGACTGAAAGGTCCCAGGTTCGATTCCGGTCAAGGGCATGTACCTTGGTTGCGGGCACATCCCCAGTAGAGGGTGTGCAGGAGGTGGTTGGTCGATGTTTCTCTCTCATCGATGTTTCTAGCTCTCTATCCCTCTCCCTTCCTTTCTGTGAAAAATCAATAAAAATATATTTTTTTAAAAATTGGAAAAAAGAAAAGTTTCTGTAAGGATCAGACCCACAACCTCTGCAATGGGGTTGGGCCCTGGTGGGGAGCCAGACCCCGAGTGGGGAGCCAATGGACTGGAGGCCCGGTGGGGTCCCTTGGCCTGGCCTGCGGCAGAGATTGGGCTAAAACTGGCTTTCTGACATCCCCCAAGGGGCCCTGGATTGAAAGAGGGCCGTTCTTCGGTGATGCACCGCAGAATTGGGCTCCCTCCTCTCTGGCTCCTGTATGCCCACCAGGTATGGAGCCCACAACCTGGGCATGACCCCTGACCAGAAGTTGATGCTGAGCCACGCTGGCTGGGGCCATGGGAGCCATGGAAACAGATGTGAACAGGAAGCTCTGGCGGCCTGTTGTGCTGGGAATAATAATGTCTTTGTCTCGGTCCCAGGAGTTTCATGTCTTGTTCGGCATCGCTGAAACAGGCAGGCTACCTTGTTGGCTTGCAAATGGGGTAAAATAGTAACTGACGGAGCCCCATATGAACAGAGCCTTTGTGCATCACCTCGTGCCAGAGGGAAGCGTATCAGTCTGCCCGGCTGTAACACAACTTCACAAAGTGGCTGTTAAACAATAATTCTATCCCAAAGTTCTGGAGAATGGAAGTCTGAGGTCAGGGTGCAGCATGGTCTGGTGAGGGTTCTCTCTTCTTTTAAAAAAGAAAAAAAAATTATTGATTTTTCTTACAGAGAGGAAAGGAGAGAGATAGAGAGTTAGAGACATCGATGAGAGAGAAACATCGTTCAGCTGCCTCCTGCAACCAATATACATGTGCCCACAACCAATGTACATGCCCTCGACTGGAATTGAACCCAAGACCTTTTAGTCTGCAGGCTGATGCTCTATCCACTGAACCAAACCTGTTAGGGCTCCATTGCTTTTTCAGAGTGAGTGGAAGGTAGGGAGGGTGGAGGAGGGGGGAAAAGAGACAGAAACATCTATGGGCGAGACACACATAGACGAGTTGCCTCCAGCATGCTCCCTGCGGGGAGAAGGGAGCAAACCTAGGTAAGTACCTTTAACTGGGAATCAAGTCAGAGACCCTTCAGTGCACAGGCCAACACTCTAACCATTGAACACATCCAGCCAGGGAACAGGTACACTTTTTTTTTTTTTTTAAATTTCAGAGAGAAAGGGAAAAGAAGAGAGAGAGAGTAACATCAGTGATGAAAGAGAATCATTGGTTGGCTGCCTCCTGCACACACCGGGGATGGAGCCCACAACCCAGGCCTGTGCCCTGACTGAGAATTGAACTGTGACTTCCTGGTTCATAGGTTGACGACGCTCAACCACTGAACCACACCAGTCAGGCTCCCATCGATGTTTCTATCTCTGTATCCCTCTCCCTTCCTCTCTCTTTAAAAATCAATTTAAAAAATGAAACATTGGTGGGGGGAAAAAGAATGAAGCTACACTGGCCCAGCAATACCTTGACTTTACAGGAACATGTGGCAGTTGTCCTTTATGGAGGAAATTTTAAGCTCCACACTTTAGCCAAAGCCACTGGCACTGGGAACCTCAATCCTCTGGGGTTCCCCTATGTGCAGGGCCCTGGTTCACTGGTGGTTTAAGCTGAAACCTGCTGGTACCCTGTGGGCCCTGGGGCTGCTCAGTCTCACTCCACCTGCGTGGAACTGAAATCTGATGTGATTGTTTCCATCACGGGTCAATTCTCAGGTACCTGGACTGCTGCCAGTGGCCTAGTTTAGTGTTCTACTTGGAAAACTGGCAGATTAAGGGCACCCCACTTTGGGGCCATGAACTGTGAAAACTGACTGCAGTTCTGTAATAACTGTCTGGGACACTCTTTTTATTATTATTATTATTTTTTACAGAGAGGAACTGAGAGGGAAAGAGAGTTAGAAACATCTATGAGAGAGCCAAAAGTGGTTTGGCTCAGTGGATAGAGCTTTGGCCTGCGGACTGGAGGGTCTTGGGTTCGATTCTGGTCAAGAGCATGTACCTTGGTTGCGGGCACAACCCCCAGTAGTGGGTGTGCTGTTTGATGATTCTCTCTCATCGATGATGTTTCTAACTCTCTATTCCTCTCTCAAAAAAAAAAAAAAATCAATAAAACATATTAAAAAAAAAAAACATCTATGAGAGAGACACATAGATCAGCTGCTTCCTGTACACCTCTTACTGGGGATGTGCCCACAACCAAGGTAATTGCCCTTGACCGGAATCGAACCTGGGACCTTTTAGTCCATAGGCTGATGCTCTATCCACTGAGCCAAACAAGTCAGGATTGGGTCATTCATTTAGGTGCCGATAGAAAGGGTCTGTTCTTGAAGAGTCTGACCAGAATCAAGGTGCTGATCAAACCTGTTTCTGATGCAGAGGCAACCTCCGCATGGCACACCTGTGACTTTTTTGTTCAGCTTTGTTGTGATATAATTGACAAATGAAATGTTAAGATATGTAAAGTGCATCCTTAGCTATAAAGAACCATTGTCTGGATGAGCTGGTGAGTTGGGGGAGATCCTGCCAATAAGGAGGTCAAAGATTGAATTATGTAAGCCCCTCCACCCTTTATTGGGAGTTTCCTAACTAAACTGAATAGAGGTTATTTTTAATTTTAATATAAATTAAAATGTTCCTTTAATATATACATATTAAATATTTATTGATTTCAGAGAGGAAGGGAGAGAGATATGGAAACATCAATGATGAGAGAGAATGATTGGCTGCTACACTGGGGATGGTGTCTTCAGTCTAGGCATGTGCCCTTGACAAGAATTGAACCCGGGACCCTTTGTTCCGCAGGCAGACCTTTATCCACTGAGCCAAACCAGCTAAGGCTGGGCAGAGGGTTTTCTTTGGAAAAGATGCTTGAGCTATTCAGACCTGTCCAGGAGCCCTACTCAAGAGTGCCCTTCAAGTGTCAGAATAAAGGGGAAGGGGTACCCCAGGCCTCGCCCTCCCTACTTCCCAACTCCCTCCGTGAGCCTGGTCCTAAAAGTGCAGGCTCAGGGGCCCTGTTGTTCCTGCTCCCAATTTGTGAAAGGAGACAGGCTTAAAGGCACAGTCACAGCCAAAGCTCCAGGGCTGGGAATTTTGAAAGACAGAGAGAAAGCGACGGTATTATTTGGCTCTGGGGCTTGAGGTGAGACAGGGAAGGGGCGGGGGGCAAAGGGGGAGTGGGTGGGAGAGAATTTATGTCAAGATCTGAGAATTGAATAGGGAAAGCTCTCCAAGTAGGAGGTACGGTTTGGGCAAGGCTTGTTGGCATGAGAAAGCACGATGGGAGTGGGGGTGGGGAGGGGGGCAATGGGACGATAAGGACACATATGTAATACCTTAACCAATAAAGAAAAAATAAATAGCCGAAACCGGTTTGGCTCAATGGGTAGAGCGTCGGCTTGGGGACTGAAAGGTCCCGGGTTCATTCCAGTCTAGGGCATGTAACTTGGTTGCGGGCATATCCCCAGTAGGGGGTGTGCAAGAGGCAGCTGATCGATGACTCTCTTTGATGTTTCTAACTCTCTCTCTCCCTTCCTTTCTGTATAAAATCAATAAAATATATTAAAATAAATAAATAAATAAAATGAATATTTCATTTTTAAAATGAATTTTTTTTAAAAAAAAGCAAGACGTGTTTGCTGCTCAGAGGGTTCTAAGTTTCCAGGAGCGCCCAAGTGTTAACAAGCGGGGAGGCAGATGTGCCTAGAGAGGGTTCAGGAATCGGATGCTTCCTGGGGCTTAATTTTTAATCTTTTTTTTTTTTTAATATATTTTATTGATTTTGTACAGAGAGGAAGGGAGAGAGATAGAGAGTTAGAAACATCGATGAGAGAGAGTCATCGATCAGCTGCCTCTTGCACACCCCCTATTGGGGATATGCCCGCAACCAAGGTACATGCCCTTGACCGGAATCGAACCCGGGACCTTTCAGTTCCCAAGCCGACGCTCTATCCATTGAGCCAAACCGGTTTCGGCCAATTTTTAATCTTGATACTAAGACAAATCACCACCCTTCTCTGGGTCTCGGCATAAATCAAAAACTCACATTCGCCGAGGCCGGTTTGGCTCAGTGAATAGAGCGTTGGCCTGCGGACTGAAAAGTCCCAGGTTCGATTCCGGTCAAGGGCATGTACCTTTATTGCGGGCACATCCCCAGTCGTGGATGTTCAAGAGACAGCTGATCGATGTTTCTCTCTCATTAATGTTTCTGGCTCTCTGTCCTCTCTCTTCCTCCGTAAAAAAATCAATAACATATGTTTTTTAAAAAACACTCACATCCTCCTCCTGTGACACAAAGACGCGGGGAGCCCCGCCAGCCTGCGAAGCAGCGACCTCACCAGCCAAAGCCTGCAGATTGCCTCAGTTCCCCATAAGATGTCATGCATTCCTAGTGACGCAGGCGCACAAGCTTTCCTGCGGGCCTGGCAGAAGGGCAGCCTTGGACGCCTCCCAATCCTGCCCCTCATTGGCTAACGCAACTGCTCGTCTCGGCCGTTGTTAGTGGCGACGTAGGCGGGTACCACGTCGGTCGCTGAGATACCACGCACTTCCGCTTCGCACCCCCTCGCTCTGGCAGGCCTCCGACCAATAGAGAGTCGGAAGTGGGCGGGGACTCCGTGTTCCGGACCAAAGAAACTCGGGCTCGGCCCTGCGTGGGGCGGGCGGGGACCGCAGGGCAGCCCCTGTAAAGTGGCTCGTGCGCCCCCACGCTCGCCTTTCCTCCTCCTCCCGGCCGTGCCCCGCCCCGCCCGGATTCAGCACAGCGCTGGTCGCAGTCTGACAGGAACGGGACGGAGCCAAGATGGCGGCGGCCGATGGCGACGACTCTCTCTACCCCATCGCGGTGCTCATAGACGAGCTCCGCAATGAGGACGTTCAGGTCCGGAGGCCACGGGAGACTCGGGGGCGGCGGGCTGAGGGGCCGGGGGGCACGGGCGACCCTCGCGGAGGAGGCTCGGTGTTCGCTGGGAGGGGCGGAAGGGGGAGGCGGCCAATCAGCGTCCAGCTCTTATCTGTGCGGGCGCCGGGAATCGATGAGTCGGCGCCCGGGATTGGGGGAGGGCCCGGCGGAGGGCGGGGAGCGAGGGCCACCCCGGAGGGTCCCTCCCGGGCCTGCCCCAGTGCGCGCGGCCGCGGGGGCCGGGGTGGCCGCGGCCCGCGGGGAGGGGGCCTCGGCTGCTGAATGCGCCTGCGGGTGTGGGTCCAAATCGGGGAGGGCCGCCTGATGGTTCCCACCCGGATAGGATTTTTTTTTTCTTCTCCTTCTGGGGTTTTGGCTACTGGGCCTCGGCGCTTGGGGGGTCAGCTCCCCAAATCGGGACTCAGAGGTGAAGGCTGTCTCCCCAGTTTTGTTCCCTCTGTGCCGGTTCTGTGTGTATTTATTTGCTTATTTATTTAGGGAAGCTAGCGAAGACACCCCACCTTCAAAGGGGGATCTTGCTAAATTTAGGAACGAATGAAAGAGGAGGAGTCCCGCCCGGCTTCTGGGACGTGGGCATTTTTGACTAAACGGGGCAGGGAGGGAGGCTCAGGTCGCTGAGCCCGGCTGGCGAGGGATGGAGAGAGGAGCTCACGGGTTTGCCCACCCAGTTCCACCGCCCACCCGCCGCGTGACCTTTGGGGCCGATCGCACCCCTGGCTTTCCCTAAAAGTGTTGGCTAATAATCAGCCAGTCATAGTCCCGGCCTCCTGGCGGGGCGGGCGAGGGGCTGAATGTGTTAATACAACTGTAATGGAACGGTGTCTGGGCTCATAAAAGAGCCCAATAAAGGTTAGCGCTAATTATTATTGTTATTGTTATTTTTATTGTTTGAAGTATTACAAATAATAGTGCATATGTCCCCTTTTTTTCCCCACTTGACCTCCTCCCAGCTTCCCCTAACCCTCAGCATATGCCTTCACCTGAACCCCCCACTCCCGTGTCTTGTATCCATTGGTTATGTTTATTTTTTATTCATTTTTTTATTGGTTATGTTTATATGCATGCATACAAGTCCTTCGGTTGATCTCTTACAGTCCCTCCACCTTCCAACCTCCCCTGCTTTCCCCCTGTAGTTTGACAGTTTGTTCAATGGCTCTTTACCTCTATATATATTTTCCCCTCCATTTCTTTTCTTTAAAAAATATTGCAACTGTAGACTAGAAATAAACATATAATAATAAAGTGCTTGAGCCCCAATGTCAGTGTCCAACCCAGTTCTGAGACCCAGTTTCAATGTCAAATGGTTCCTTATGTGTACATGTCAGCAATGCTATCTGGATAGCTCTCATTATGGAGCATGGTGGACCAAGCGGTCCCATCCGCCCTGTGGGCCTCAGTTTCCCTGTTTTACAAAATTGAGTCCATCTTCCGGGGCCCCAGCTGCTCGCCGAGGTTCTGGAATTACACAGGCTGTGGGTTGTGCTGCCAGCCGGCTCTTCTCTCACTCATGGACACCTGAGCCCTGGTTTCCTCTTCTCTCCAGTAGAACTAATTACCTAGTTCCCAGGGCCGCTGTATGGACCTCCTTTGTTCACGGGACACCTGCCACATGTCAGGCATGGTGCTGAGGATCTGGTGGTGACATCAGTAACTGTTACACAAGAGTCAGGTGAAACAGCGGAATACATTAATCACACACGTGAGTGTGATGGGAAGGAAACAGGAGGATGTTGTGATAGTGACTCAGTGAATATTTTTTTTGGTTGTGGGGGGGCGCTCTACTCTGTGTAGGGCACTGTTTTAGGTACAGGGAACCAGGCAGACTCCTGGCCTCTGGAGTTACCTTCTAGTGAGGGGAACAGACACGAACAACACGATGAATCAGTAAAATGTGCTATGTGTTAGGTGGGGGTAAGTGCTAAGGAGAAAAATGGAGAGGGCACCGAAACCGGTTTGACTCAGTGGATAGAGCATTGGTCTGCGGACTGAAAGGTCCCAGGTTCGATTCCGGTCAAGGCACATACATTGGTTGCGGGCACATCCCCATTAGGGGGTTTGCAGGAGGCAGCTGATCGATGTCTCTCTCTCATCAATGTTTCTAGCTCTCTATCTCTCTCAGTAAAAAAATCAATAAAATATATATATATTTAAAAATGGAGAGGGGTGGGAGTGCAGCTTTCAAGAGCGGTGAAGGAAGGCCTTGCTGAGAAGGTGACGTCGGAGCAAAGACCTGAAGGAGGAGGCAGGGGAGAGAGCCACGAGGCTGTCCGGGCAGAGTACCCAGCAGGCACAGTGGCCAGTCCGGGGAGGCCCCTGTGAGGATGCAGACGTTAAGAGGGGACCCAGGACCCAAGAGGGAGCTGGGGAAGAGCCTGCCAGGAGGAGAGAGCAGGCAGGTCATGACAGCGGTTTTGCCCACGGGGGCATTTGGTGAAGTCTGGAGACATTTTGGATGGTCACATTGGGGGAGCGTTCCTGGATTCTGGTGAATAAAGGTCAGGAAAGCTGCTAAGCCTCCTACAGGTCACAGGGCAGCCCCCACAGCAAAGCATTATCTTCCCCAAATGTCCTCAGTGGTGAGACTGAGAGAAGCCCTGGTCCAGGAGACTCAGGCAGAGCTAGTGGCTTAAAAGGACTCCAATGGATTACCTTAGCGTTCTGGGCGTCAGGAGTCTGATGGGCCCACTGCGCTGTCATGTAGGTGCTGGCAGGGCTGCTTCCTTGGTGCAGTCCGTAGGGGAGAATCTGTTGTCTTGTCTCTTGCACCTGCCGGAGGCTGCCTGCATTCTTGGCTGTGGTCCCTTGCTCCATCCCTAAAGCAACTCTAGGCTTGGAGGCAGGTGATGTACAGAAGGCAGTTCCGTGGGAGGAAGCAGGAGGCAGACCGGGGTCTGGTCACATTAGGAGTTACTCAACCTGGGCCTTGGTTTTCTTTTTAAATATATTTTATTGATTTTTTTACAGAGAGGAAGAGAGAGGGATAGAGAATTAGAAACATCGATGAGAGAGAAACATCGATCAGCTGCCTCCTGCACAACCCCTACTGGGGATGTGTCTGCAACCAAGGTACATGCCCTTGACCGGAATAGAACCCAGGACCCTTCAGTCCGCAGGCCGATGCTCTATCTACTGAGCCAAACCGGTTTTGGTTGGGCCTTGGTTTTCTTGTTAAATGGGGGGGGAAAGGGTAGAAGACTCACGAGGCCAGGTTATTGTGAGGATTAAATGATTTTTAAAAACTCACGGTCACTAGCCGCTGTGTAAGACCTGGCAATAGCAGGCCGTGTCCACATCTTAGAAACAGGGCGTGCCAGGCTCCCACGCCTTTTTATAGAGTGCCTGGGCACTGGGTGAAACACAACTGGAAATAAGGTTGCCCTCCGAGAGTTTAAACCAGAAAAGACGTTGGTAAAATGATGATGAGGAACATGGGTCCATGTCCCAGGCTCCGTCACAAGTTCACTGGGTGACCTGCATTCCCCCTCTGTGCCTTAGTTTCCTGGGCTGTGAAATAAACACACAGGTGGTATGAAGAGAGAACATGTGTCAAGTCCCGAGCTTCAGACAGCAAGCACTCTTTCAATGGTCAGGCTTCTTAGTGAGATGAATAACTACTCTATCTCAGAAATGTTACAGAGGACCCCACCATGGCCACGGAGACAAGTAAAGTTCATTTTCCCATTATTGCTCACAAGGATGTTACATAACTGGGCCAGAGTGCGCCCTTTCCACCTGCTTCCTGTGGTCACAGCGTGCCACAGCGCCTGCTCTCAGTAAGTCCTCGCTGGAAGCAGGGGCCGTGCGAGGGCAGAGTGCTCCGTGTCCGCCCTCTGGTCCAGGAGGGAAATCTGTCCTGGAAGCCCTTCGGCCGACATGCTCCTAATGTCTCTGTCCAGAACGAGGTCATGTGCTGAGCTTGGCGGAATTAGGTTTGGCTGTAAGTCATAGGAAAGCGCTAAATAAATGAGGCTTCCATGAGCTTGAAGTTTATTTCTGACTCATGATCAAAAAGTCTGGTTCCTGCTGGGACCGGTTTGGCTCAATGGATAGAGCGTCGGCTTGGGGACTGAAGGGCCCCGGGTTCGATTCCGGTCAAGGGCATGTACCTTGGTTGCGGGCATATCCCCAGTAGGGGGTGTGCAAGAGGCAACTGATCAATGACTCTCTCTCATTGATGTTTCAAACTCTCTATCTCTCTCCCTTCCACTCTGTACAAAATTCAATAAAATATATATTAAAAAAAAAAAAAAAGTCTGGTTCCTGACTGGTGTGGCTCAGTGGTTGAGCATGGACCAGGAGGTCACAGTTCGATTGCTGGTCAGGGCACATGCCTGGGTTGTGAGCTTGGTCCCCAATGTGGGGCATGCAAGAATCAGCTGATCGATGGCTCTCTCTCTCTCACTTTTTCTCTCTCTCTTTTTAAAAATATATTTTATTGATTTTTAACAGAGAGGAATGGAGAGGGATAGAGAGTTAGAAACATCGATGAGAGAGAAGCATAGATCAGCTGCCTCCTGCACACCCCCTACTGGGGATGTGCCGGCAACCAAGGTACATGCCCTTGACCGGAATCGAACCTGGGACCCCTCAGTCCCCAGGCCCACACTCTATCCACTGAGCCAAACTAGTTAGGGCTGATCAATGACTCTCTTACATTGATGTTTCTATCTCTCCCTCTCCCGTCCCTGGGGGGGGGGGGGGGGGACAAAAAAATCTGGTGGCAAGCCACGCCGAAATGGTACTCTGTGGTGTCAGGGTGTCAGGCTTGCATGTCCTCCATTCTGCCCTCCCCACCCCAGGGTACCTCAAGGTCTCCAGATGACTGCTGAAGCCCCCCCACCATAGCTCCATCCCCGACAGAGAGGAGGGGAGAGGCTTTCCCCAGTCTCCCCCTGGGGCACTTTCTAGAAGTCACACACCCATTCCCTCGTGGAGTTCATTGGCCAGACGTTAACCTCCTGGTCACATCCCCACGCAAAGGTGATTCGGAAATGCCTTTCTCGGGGGCGGGGTGGAGTCGGGGTCACGTGTGCAGCTGGAAAGCAAGGGTTAAGGAGCAGCAGCACAGCCAGTGGACAGCTCCCGTCTCTGTTCCCAGGGCAGGCCCGTGCATTTGGATGAGACAGTAACATCTCTATTTTCACTGAAGTCTAATTCAAACGTAACTTCTATTCTGAACTCTAGTATTACCAGAGCATGTTGTAAGTAGTGTTAGCGAACCTGTGACTCTGCCACCAGTGGAAATCATGACACTGTCCCTAGCTCATTTCAACCGCTGCAGATACTTCTAGTGTTCATGCTCCCTTCGAGTGCAAAATTCTGGTCGTCATTAGACCTACTGAAGAGGACCATGGGAGCTCCCTGCTCCCTCCCCCGCTATCTCTCCCTCCCTCGTTAAAAAAACCACACCAGAAGTACAGATTGTTGGTGGTTACTGGTTAAGAGCCAGCTGGCTAGGGTTCAGATCCCAGTTCTGCCACCTACAAGTGTGTGAGGTTTCTTAACCTCGCCGTGCCTTCCTTTTCTCTGCCATAAAATGGGCGATCCTGTATTTACTTCACAGTTGTTTTGAGGATAAAATGAGTTAAAACATTGGCACATCAGGAACAGTGTCTGGCACAGAGTAAGTGCTATGGAAATATTTGCTGTTTTTTGTCCCGTGTCCCCCCTCACCCCCCAGCTTTATTCTGTCACTGTGGGAGAAGGGAAAAGAGACTTTGGTGGACCTTGCCTGCCATTCGTGCCCTTTTTGGAGCCCCAACAAAACCAGGATGCTGCCCTTACTGTTCTACGTCTGGTGCTAAGCTATTCCCAGTAGTATGTAACTACGTACTCATAGTAACTTTCTGAGGGTAGGTATTATAATCCCATTTCACAGGTGAGAAAGTTGAGGCTCTGAAAGGCATAAAGTGTGGCCCCAGACCCTACAACTAACATGCAAAGCAGCTTAGCCTTGAACACAGGCAGGGAGGCTCCAGCCTTTCATAAGCGTGTATGGGGCTGTCTTCGCTGAAGGAAGCAGCAGACGTTCTTCATGAAATCCAAGCTGGGCTCTCCAAGGAGGGCAGGGAAAGGAAGGGGCTCTGCTCCACGGCAGGCCCGGCCTGTTTCTCAGGGGCCCACCCCTTGGGCATCTTTCCGAGTGACAGCACGATGTTGAGATTTTGAGTCAGGGCACCTGGCTTTTTGGTCCTGGCTCTGCTGCTTTCCAGCAAGTGACAGCTTCCCTGTGGATCAGCAGCCTCCTCTCTAAAAGGAGGATTCTAGAAATAATACCCGCCTCAGAGCGGAGTTGTAAGGATAGAGTATGTTTATTATCCAAGCCAAGCCTTTGGCTGCTGCCAAGGACAGTAAACTTCCGGTAATTGTTAGCTGCTCTCGCTTGTGGCTGGCCTTGTGATGACACTCTCTGGCCCTCCTCGCCGTCCCCAGGGGGTGGCCCTGGCGCGTGTGTCCGTTTCCCCAGAGCCCGGCTGTCAGAGGAACCCAGGGACCCAGCTTGAAGTGACAAAGGAAAGAAATAGGCACCTGAGTCACCGCTCCCCTGACATTTCATTATGGAGGACTCCATCCACACAGAGCACCGAAAGACAGAGCGGGGGCCAGAAACCGCAGCCCAGGCCGGATCCCGCCCGCTGTCTGCTTTTGCAAAGAAACTTTGATTGGAACACAGCCATGCCCGTTTGTTTCCATGTCTGGCTCTGCGGCTGCTTTTGTGCTTCAGAGACGTAGTCAGGTAGTTGGGCAGAGACCCTGTGGCCCGCAAAGCTGGCAATTTATAGATAGCCCCTGACTTCTGAGCTAGCGCAGTGAGTGCCATACGCTTAGCAGCCAGATTCGCTGCTAGTGTTCACCATGTTCAAGTTTTTAAAAAGTCCTTGGTTTTATATTTTGGCTGAAAATAAGTTGCAGACCTTGTAATATTAATCTCATCGAGGCCCTTAAACAGTCAGGAAGGTGAGCTTTTGGACCCCCTCAAGCCCTGGTAGTCCAAAAACCGCGTGATGTCTTATAAAAAATGTGTGTGTTGGGGGGAGGCATTGTTGGAGGCCACCTTAGCATTTCATCATTCTCCTCATTGTCTGTGATCCCAAAGGGATTTTTATTTTTAAAATATATGTTTATTGATTTCAGAGAGGAAGGGAGAGGGAGAGAGAGAAACGTCAATGATGAGAGAGAATCATTGATCGGCTGGGATTGAGCCCACAACCCAGGCATGTGCCCTGACCAGGAATCGAACCTGTGACCTTCTGGTTCATACATAGGGTGACGCTCAGCCACTGAGCCATGCCAGCAGGGCCCTAAGGGCTTTGTAAAGGGAACTTACTTGATGTGTCCCTGGCACACCTCTCCACAGTCCCGTTGGGCCCAGGAAAGGACAGGCTGAGGAGCCCGGTCCCTTCTTGCCTGCTTCTCCTTCCAGGAGGAGTTCCCACTGGACCTGGCAGTGGCGTGCTCGTGAGCGTGTCCCGTTGCATTCTGGCGATGGCCCTGTGAGCCAGGGAGGGGAGACCCCTTTGTCAAGCTGGAGAAACGGGGAGGAGTTCACTTCGCACAGCAGGGAATGGGAGTGTCAGTCGTGCTTACCTTTCTGCATCCGGAGGATCCCATGAGGTCCCAAGTGGAGGCTCCGAGGAAACGCAGGCCCCTCTCCTAGCTTCTGGTGGCTGCTGGCAACTCGACATGCCTTGGTTTGTGGGCTCATCCTCCTCTGTCTTCACTGGCCTTTCCCTCTCTGTCTCTCTCTCTCTCTCTCTCTCTTTTTTTTTTTTTTTTTAATATATTTTATTGATTTTTTACAGAGAGGAAGATAGAGTGATAGAGAGTTAGAAACATCGATGAGAAAGAATCATCCATCAGCTGCCTCTTGCACGCCCCCTACTGGGGTATGTGCCCGAAACCAAGGTACATGCCCTTGACTGGAATCGAACCTGGGACCTTTCAGTCCACAGGCTGACGCTCTATCCACTGAGCCACACCGGTTTTGGCTCTCTGTGTCTCTGTGTCTTCTTTTCTGAGGACACTGTCATTGGGTTTAGGCCTCTTGAGAGAAAACTCGCTCGTCCTGTGTACCTCGTTTACTCTTTCACTGTCACACTCAGCACTTCTGACACCACCTGCAGGGGGGCTCCCCACAGCCAGCAACTCTGTGTCACCAGCTGGGAGCCCTGCTATGCACATATTCAGTTCAATTCAGTGTGACACTCGCCAGTTAGATCACACAGGCCGAGGTCTCAGTCCCCTGAGAGTGCTCTCCCCACCCCCCACATGCACACACTTGAGATGCTAGTGGCAAGTCCTCAGATTACCCACAGCTTCTGCTGGACGTGACTACAAATCGTCAAACCCAAGGAGATTGGCCAGAACAGCACCCCGATCTCAGGGAAACACATTTCCCAATGTGTTCTGTGGTCCAGGATGCAGGTGAGCGGTCACATGCAAAGATACACAGGCCCGAGGTCCGGGAGGCCCCGAGTGTGGAGCTTCTGTCCCTCGGAGTTGGGGCGTGTCACCTCCCGGTGCTTGGAGGTGTTCGCCCCCTCGGAAGCTCCCCAAAATCCCTACCATTGGGGATTTCTATGGAGGCTTCGTTGTGTAGGCACGGCCATTAACTCAGTCTCCATCCCTCTCTGGAGAACGGAGGGCGTGGCTGAAAGGTCCAAGGTTCTAATCGTGGCTTGGTCTTCCCGGCCATCAGTCCCCATCCAGGCGCCCACCACAGAGACCTCATTAGAACAAAAGGCGCACCGGTCCCTCAGGAAATTACCGGGCCTTACCGGGCCTTACGAGCTCCGTGCCAGGAGCTGGGGATAGGTTTCTCTGGTTTCACAGGGGTTCCCCATCCACAACTACACGGGCCCACGGGGGGACATGTCTTTCTGGGGCCACTCACTGTTCAGCCTGTTACACTAGTGGTTTTATTACGACTGCTAACGCTACTCCTGTTTGAATAGCACTGTTGTTATGGTGCTGTTTATCCTGTTATCCATCACTGTCAGCCCACTGTCCTGGGTTTCATTCCTGGTTCCGTGCCATCTGAGCTGGGTGACCCTTCGAAGGTACTTGTTCCCTGAGCTCATTTCCGCTCTATAGAATTGAGCTTATAGTCCTCTGACCTCAGGGCTATGGTGAGAGGTAAAGACCGAGTGTGGGAGGGCACAGAGTAAGTGCTCTGTGATGTGTAGCCGAAACCGGTTTGGCTCAGTGGATAGAGCGTTGGCCTGCGGACTGAAAGGTCCTGGGTTCGATTCCGGTCAGGGGCATGTATGTTGGTTCCGGGCACATCCCCAGTGGGGGGTGTGCAAGAGGCAGCTGGTCGATGTCTCTCTCGCATCGATGTTTCTAGCTTTCTCTCTCTCTCCTCTCCCTTTCTCTCTGTAAAAAAATCAATGAAATATATATTTTTAAAAACTGTGATGTGTAGTGTGCTCAGCAGTGCCCACTGCAAGAGGGGACGAGAGCGGAGGGCTTGTGGTGGGGGCGAGGCCAGGGGGGGTTTTCCACAGAATTGGAAAGGGCTGCTGAGCGGGCATCGCCTCAGTGAGACCCCAAAGCTGCTTTGCTGAGGGGTTGCTCCCATGCTGACTTCACGACTCAAGGTCACAGAGGCACTTGGTAGGTGTCTGCCTAGTTATTATTTGGTTCTTCACACACACTCAGTTCAGGGGCTGTCGGACTCTCTTACCGCTGGGCTTGCTCACATTCTCCCCTCCTTTTCTTGTTCTCAACAGCTTCGCCTCAACAGCATCAAGAAGCTGTCCACCATCGCCTTGGCCCTCGGCGTGGAGAGGACGCGCAGTGAGCTGCTGCCCTTCCTGACAGGTAACACTGCCTCCTGGCCCGCGGGGATGGGGCTGGCAGGGCGGTGCCTGCGGGTGCGGGGCCTCCCTGTGGATTTACCTGGTCGTTTGGAAGTGTCTGCCTCAGCTAGACATCGTGGGTGCGCAGGGTCTGTGAGGCGAAGTGCAGTCCTTCTCTGAAGGAATGATCTGGAAAGTTAGGGGCAGGGGTCTGGAGCAGGTTTAGGCAGGTGTGAGATGCAGCCCCAACCATTAGAAGCTGAGTGACACTCTCTGTGTAGTGTTTTTATGTTGTTGTTACTCCTCACTGGAGGATATTTTCCATTAATTTTTTTTTTAAGAGCGTGGAAAGGAGGGGGAGAGAGAGAGAGACATGGATGTGAGAAAAACACATGAATTGGTGCCCCCTGCATGCGCCCCGACTGGGGTTTGGGGCCTGCAACTGAGGTATGTGTCCTAGAGTCCAGTGTTTCCCAAAGTGTGGTACGCGTACCCCCAGGGGTACGGGAAAAGTTTGGTGGGGGTACGCGTTGCATCGGAGTTTGGTGGGGATATGCACTGCACCGTGCTTAGCTGCGCCTAATTCTACGTCCTCATGAGTACGAGGGGTACTCAGCGTTATGAAAATTATAGAAGGGGTACACGTATGTCAAAAGTTTGGAAAACACTGTACCATAAACCTAAAACCTTTTAGTCCAAGGACTGTCGCTCTAGCCACTGAGCCTGTGGCTTGGGCTCCCTGTAGTTTTTATGTGTAAAATGGGGATGAGCATATATAAAATGAAGACACCATGAGAGGGTTGTGGTAAGGAGGTGACTCAGAGCTGGAACCCACCACTTCCACTCCCACCCTATTGTTCAGAGTATGGTCACATGTCCATGCCAGCCGCAGGGGAGCCTGGGAAATGTAGTCCGGCTGGATTGATTGCCTTAGGCCTGGCTTAACCTCAGGAAGTTAGGATGCTGGCATAGATGCTAAGGATACAGCATCTCGGGGAAGATAGGATGGAGCTGGAGGAGAATGGCTCTCAGGTTTAGCATCAGGACAGAGCATTTTCTTTTCTTTTTATAAGACTTTTTTTTTAGATATATTTTATTGATTTTTTACAGAGAGGAAGAGAGAGGGATAGAGAGTTAGAAATATCGATGAGAGAGAACAACAATCAGCTGCCTCTTGCACACCCCGACTGGGGATGTGCCCGCAACCAAGGTACATGCCCTTGACCGGAATCGAACCCGGGACCCTTCAGTCCGAAAGTCTGACACTCTATCCACTGAGCCAAACCGGTTTCGGCAAGACTTTTTAAAATATGTTTTGTTTTTTTTATTTCAGAGAGGAAGGGAGAGGGAGAGAAACATCAATGATGAGAATTATCAATGGGCTGCCTCCTGTACGCCCTCCATTGGGGATCAAGCCTGCAACCCGGGCATGTGCCCTGTCATCCGACCCAGGGCCATGCCTTGATCTCTGTGCCAGCCCAGGGGAGGGTGGGGGCAGTGAGTGCTGTGTGAGAAGCTGTGTGAGGCTGCGTGTTCCCAGCTTGGCTTCTTGGGGCTGGAGTCAGACTTCGGATGGGTCTGGCAGAGTCTGCTTTGGTCCCACAGACACCATCTACGATGAGGATGAGGTCCTCTTGGCCCTGGCGGAACAGCTGGGAACCTTCACCACGCTGGTCGGAGGCCCGGAGTACGTGCACTGCCTGCTGGTGAGTCTGGAGGCTGGGAGTGCTCTTGCCTTCCCTTGGGGGTCAGCGACGGGAGAATGTGAAGGTGCTTGGGCGTCATCTCCTCAGAATAGATGCGCTTTGGACATTTACTTTAATCCAACAAGCCAGGACTCTGGGTTAGGAGTCAGGCTAGCTTCTACCACTGTGTGACTTGTAAAAATTACTTAACCTCTCTGTGCTGTCCTTTGCTCATCTCTTAATGGAAGTCATTAACCCCTCTCTTTATAATTGAGCCTTAGCACAGTACTAGGCACATAGTAATACCAACAGGTGTTAGCTGCATTGTCCACCCTTTGTGGTAGGGAGAGTTTCCTTTTTTTTTTTTTAATATAGTTTATTGATTTTTTTTAGAGAGGAAGGGAGAGGGATAGAGAGTTAGAAACATCCATGAGAGAGAAGCATCCACCAGCTGCCTCCTGCACACCCCCAATTGGGATGTGCCCGCAACTAAGGTACATGCCCTTGACCCGAATCGAACCTGGGACCCTTGAGTCCACAAGCCGACTCTATCCACTGAGCCACACCGGTTAGGGGAGAGTTTCCTTCTTATAGATGAGTCACCAGAGCACGCAGAGGTTGGTGTCTTGTGCACGGTCGCACGGCTAGCACATGGCAGAGTTGGGATTCTCAGTATGTCCATTTGAGTCTCCCCCAGGCCCCTACCCCACTGCCTGCCAGTCTGACCCTGTGCTCGGTGGTGGCCAGGGCCATAGAGACGGGTCAGATATAACGGTAACTGCTGTTGGGGAGAGGAGAAGGGAGGACCCCATTGGCCTCTGGGGGGTACTCCAGGCTGTGGTCTGGGAAGAAAGCACCCTGGATGGTCCAGGCCCTTGGTTTTCTCTGTTCCTCAGGCCCCTGGGCCATTGCATTCCTCCCAGTAATTCCGTATTTCATGGTTTCTAAACCCCTATGTCATACTTGGCCTCTGCACATGGTGTCTTACTTTTTTTTTTTTTTTTTTAATCTTTTTTGAAATTTTATTTTATTTATTTATTTTTTAAATCAATCTTTATTGTTCATGTTATTACAAAGGTTCCTCTTGGTGTCTTACTTGCTGTCAGCAGCCTTTCTCCCGCTTAGTGCTGTATAACACCTGCTTCTTAGAATCGTCGGTGTCTTGGATTTCAGCAAATGTGATTGTTTTTTTTTCCCCCCTGACACCATTAAGTCAGGAGGTGTGGTAATGGCCCTTCGTGCTGCTATCTGAGCTTTTATCTGTGTACACAGAGCGTGGTATGTGAATGGGATTGTTCGGATTTTACATAGAACAGTGAGGCCTAACAGGGGAGTGGGCAGTCCGAGGGCCAGCCTGAAAGGGGCCCTTGACCGCCGTGGAGCTCTGCAGCCTGGCCTCTGTCAGTTTTTCTGAGGAGAGAATGCTCAGCTTTCAGCAGCTTCTCAGAGAAAACACTGCTGAGAGCCCCGGGGCTCCAGTTAGGGGAGGGATTCGGGCTTGCCGGGAGCCAGCCATGGAACCGGGGTCCTTCCCCAGCCAGGTCAGGTCTCCCCACAGAACATTCTCAGCCAGTGAACCCCAGTCATCGCACGCTTCCTTCGGGTGTGTGTGGGGGGACACAGAAGGGGGGTAGTCACATGTGATCTCTGGGACTGCCCAGCACAGACATCCTGAGGCCCTACAGCGACCCGTCGCTTCTCACAGTGAGGGGACATTTTCCCATTCACAGAGGAGAAACTGAGGCACAGACTGGTTTGAGTGAATCGCCCCTGCCTCCTAACCATGACCTCCCCTTTGTACTCCTCTCAGAGGGCCCCTGGTTGCTTCACAGGCTGCTCAGAGCTGGGGAAGAGGGAAGCTGGAGCCTTTAGAATTCAGAGACACCTGACCCAGCATAGGTGGGATGGAGGAGTGGTCAGGGAAGGCCTCCTGGAGGAGGAGGCATTACCCTGGGTTTTGACAAGTTGTGAAAAAAGGAGAAATGGCTGTTGTGCAGTTTGTTCCTTGCACACACATGACAAGGATTGTGGGCAGTGGGTTAGAAATGAACCCACGGAGGGGCTCGGGGTGGGGTGGGGGGCTCCAGGGCTGGAGGTGGTGGGGAGGGAGCCTCTGGTGACCTCGTGCTCTGTGCCGCAGCCACCCCTGGAGTCGCTGGCCACCGTGGAGGAGACGGTGGTGCGGGACAAGGCGGTGGAGTCCTTGCGGGCCATCTCCCACGAACACTCGCCCTCCGACCTGGAGGCCCACTTCGTGCCCCTGGTGAAGCGGCTGGCGGGCGGCGACTGGTTCACCTCCCGCACCTCGGCCTGCGGCCTCTTCTCCGTCTGCTACCCCCGCGTGTCCAGCGCCGTCAAGGCGGAGCTTCGACAGTGAGTCCCAGCTGTGGCCCCTGGTTCGCTTCTCTCAAGCCCCAGCCCTGAGGCCTCCCGAGTCCCAGACGCCCCTGCGCTCTCCCAATCCCCCACCACTCTTGAAGAATCTGTGTCACCAAGGGCACTACCACTTGCTCAGTTAGGAAATATAGGTAACGACAGTTCCTTCCTCCCCTTGTTCTTGCAAGGAAAGAATTCCCGCCTATAAAGTGCTTACCAGGAGCTGGTACCTAAAAGCATGGACAAGGGACCGCGATGCAGTCTGAGGCCTGTCCTCGGCCCAGACCCTGGGAAGCCTCCTCCGGTCTCCACCCATCGCCTGGTGCCCCAGGGAACTCCTCGCAGGAAGGACTTGCCTCTGGGAAGAATGAATGAACATGGCCAAGAGCTTGCCCCTCCCTCTGAACTTCCGTCCACCCACCATTCCCCACACACTTACTTTTGAAAAAAATAGTGAAGCCTCCTCCACTATTTATTGATTTTTTGCAGAGAGATAGAGGGATAGAGAGTTAGAAACATCGATGAGAGAATCATCGATCAGCTGCCTTTTGCGCACCCCCTAGTGGGGATGTGCCCATAACCAAGGTACATGCCCCTGACCGGAATCGAACCTGGGACCTTTCGGTCCGCAGGCTGACTCTATCCACTGAGCCAAACCCGTTTCGGCTGCACTTTTTGAGCAGCAAGCCCAGGCCCTGAGCCCGTACTTACCCAGAGTACCGGTGGACAGCTGCCCACATGTGCTTAGAGATGTGTGTTCGGCTCCCTGCGCCTCCAGGAGGAGCAGCCGCTGCTGAAAAGTAAAACCTTTGAGTGGCCTAGACCCGCATCAGCTGCACAGTTTGATGTGGTCATAATGGAACCGGCACCTACCGTTCTCCACAGATGTGTGTGCAGACGATAGGCTGCTACATGCTCACACCGGGAACTCATTTAGACCTCACAGTGCCCTGTGGGGTAGGTCCCGTCACTGCCCAAGCTCACCAGGCAGATCAGGACCTGCTGCAGTCTGCTGTCTCCTCTGCCAAGCTCCCCAAGTCTCGGGGACGCCTTCTGAGCCCCATCCCCTCCCGACCCCCAGGTACTTCCGGAACCTGTGCTCAGATGACACCCCCATGGTGCGGCGGGCCGCAGCCTCCAAGCTGGGGGAGTTCGCCAAGGTGCTGGAGCTGGACAACGTCAAGAGCGAGATCATCCCCATGTTCTCCAACCTGGCCTCTGACGAGCAGGTGGGTTCTGCCCCCGGCCCCTCCCCGCCTCAGTGGGATGAGGCCCACTGTGCGGCAGGAAGTGAATCTAGCGCTAACGGGGCCTCTGCCGCCCTCTCTCCAGGACTCGGTGCGGCTGCTGGCGGTGGAGGCATGCGTGAACATCGCCCAGCTCCTGCCCCAGGAGGACCTGGAGGCCCTGGTGATGCCCACCCTGCGCCAAGCCGCGGAGGACAAGTCGTGGCGCGTGCGGTACATGGTGGCCGACAAGTTCACAGAGGTAGGTGCGGGACCGGGACACTGTCCGCACGGAAACAGGCCCTCGGAGGCTGGCCAAGGGCTGGGGCGTGTATAGGAGTTGGGTTTTCTTTTTTTTTTTCTCTTCTTTTTTAAAAATATATATTTTATTGATTTTCCACAAAGAGGAAGGGAGAGGGATAGAGAGCTAGAAATGTTGGTGAGAGAGAAACAACGACCGGCTGCCTTCTGCACACCCGCTACTGAGGATGTGCCCGCAACCAAGATACATGCCTTTGACCGGAATCGAACCTGGGACCCTTCAGTCCGCAGGCCGATGCTCTATCCATTGAGCCACACCGGTTTCGGCAGGAGTTGGGTTTTCTATTATTGCAGTGGAATCGCCGGGTGTTTGAGCTGTGGGAGCTCTGTGATCATCTTATTGGTCCTCACTTCACATGCCCACCTGGTTGGTTGACAGTGGCAGCCGGAAGCGCCATGTGGAGAGGGCTCTGAGGGTCAGGGTCTGTGGGAAAGAGGCCCAGGTGCAGAGTAGGGTAGCACGTCCCCTGATCAGACTCTCTCCTTGGACAAAAGGGACGACATAGCCTGAATGAGCTTGCTGGGGCTTCCATCACAAAGCACCACACTGCCCTGGCCAGTTTGGCTCAGTGGATAGTGTCGGCCTGCGGACTGAAGGATCCTGGGTTCGATTCCAGTCAAGGGGCACTTGCCCAGGTTGCAGGCTAGATCCCCAGTAAGGGGCGTGCAGGAGGCAGTCCCTCAATAATTCTCTCTGATCACTGATGTTTCTATTTCTCCCTCTCCCTTCCTCTCTGAAATCAATAAAAACATACTTTAAAATAAAAAGATGAGGTCAGAAATGGAAAATTAAATGGTGAATAAAAGTTTCAAAACAAAGCAAAGCACCACATGCTGAGTGCTCGGTTGCCTCACAGTTCACACGAGGCGACAGTTGTGAGGTCAAGGCAGCAGCCAGGTGGTTTCTAGAGATTCCTCTCCTTGGCTGCAGGTGGCCATTTCCTCCTGTGGCCTCACATGGCGTCCCTCTGAGTGTCTGTGACCTAATCTCCCTTCTTGTAAGGACCCCACCCCAGTGACCTCACTGCACTTTAACTTACTCTTTAAAGACTGTCTTCCAGTACATTCACATTCTGAGGTCCTGGGTGGGTAAGATATCAACTTGTGAATCTTGGTGGGCGCCACGGGTTAGCACATCACCCCGCCCAACAGCTTGCCTGGTCAGAGGGACACCACCAGGCAAACAGAACAGGGACGAGATCCCACACCTCTGACTCCCAGCACAGTGCTCTTCCCACGGGACCTGAATTTGCTTGGAGCCCACCAGTGAGTGTCGAGCACCAACTCTGCTGGGCGCTGAGGGTCTGTGACTCCAGTACATGCCCATCCACCAAGGAGCAGGCAGCCCGAAGGGGAAGGTCCAGTTGAATTTCATTGTCACGTGTCAGGTGCTGGACCCACACGAATGCGGGGTGTGGGAGCCGAGGAGAGGAGGTGGTGCCACAGCTGGTTGTAGAGCATGAGTGGGTGAGAGCTGAGGCGGGAAGGGGGAGAAGTGCACAGGGCCCGTGGAGGCCAGAGCAAATGCATCGGGAACCGTGAGGGCCAGCTCCTAGGGGGGCCCTGCAGGGAGAGAGCTGGGGAGAGGGGCACGCCCGCCCAGCGAGGCCTCAGTGCCTCTGCCCTGGTCTCCCTCTTCCTGTAAGTATTTCCCCTGGTGTTTGTGGGAGGGCTCGGAGCCTGAGGCTCTCTCCCAGGGCTGTGGGGTTACCCTGTGCAGATGTCAGCACACCTGGCTGTGGGGCTGTGGCTGCCGGAGTCGGAGCGTCGCTATGGAAGAGGCTCCTTCTGTACCTTGGCTCCTGGACAGCACGACGGGTCCACACGGGTTAGATAAAAGCTCAGCTTTGTGAGAGCAGGGCACACAATGGACACTCAGTAAGTGTCCATTACGTCAATACAAGGGTAGCATGGGGCCCTTCAAGGTCTCTAGTTGTTTGTTCCCTTCTGAGCCTCGAATCACCCTGCTTCCTACCAGGTCTTCCAGGCCCAGCTTTGCAGAAGAACCTGGTGCTGGGGGACAGGCAGGGCCCCGTATGCCTTTCCCCCCATAATTACAAACGTGCCACTGGTAACCGATCTTTAAGAAAAGAAAAAGCCGCCGGGACCGGTGTGGCTCAGTGGTGGAGCGTCGGCCTGCGGACTGAAAGGTCCCGGGTTCGATTCCGGTCAAGGGCATGTACCTTGGTTGCGGGTACATCCCCAGTAGGGGGTGTGCAAGAGGCAGCTGATCGATGATTCTCTCGCATCGATGTTTCTAACTCTCTATCCCTCTCTCTTCCTCTCTGGGAAAAATCAATAAAAATATATTTAAATAAAAAAAAGAAAGAAAGCCAAAACCGGTATGTCTCAATGGATAGAGTGGCGGCCTGCGGACTGAAGGGTCCCCGGTTCGATGCCGGTCAAGGGCATGTACCTTGGTTGCGGGCACATCCCCAGTGGGGGGTGTGCAGGAGGCAGCTGATCGATGATTTTCTCTCATTGATGTTTCTAACTCTCTATCCCTCTCCCTTCCTCTCTGTAAAAAATCAATATAATATATTTTTAAAAAAAGAAAGAAAGAAAGCCCTCGCCAGTGTTTCTCGGTTGGTTGGGCATCATCCCACTGAGAGGTCGCCGATTCAATTGCAAGTCAGGGTACGTGCCTGGATTGCAGGCTCCATTCCCAGTAGGGGGGCGTGGATTGATGGTTCTCATCAATGTTTCTCTCTCTCCCTCTAAAATCAATAAAACCATACTTTAAAAAAATACACACACATACATTATATATATATATATATATATATATATATATGTATGTATGTATGTATATCAAACAGCGAGAGCTGCTATAGCCTTGGAATATTTTGGATTAGTAACAGAAATCCAACCCAAGTTGCCTGACAGTATGGAGTCCCTTTTATTATTTTTTTCACATAGATTGTACTGCCATGCAGCAGGTACCCTTGTGGTCTTCATTTTGCTTTGAGATATAAAGTGACTTATTCAAGTGCACACAGTTGATAAGTAGGAATAAGAATTTGAGCCAGACAGTTGGGTCTCCAGACCCACACACGTGACCACTGCCCTACCCAGCCGACCCCCCCACCAGTGAGGAAACCACAGCTCAGAGGCTCAGAAATTTGCCCGTGGTCACCCCATGGTGCGGGGATTAGAACTTGGCAGTGATTCCAAGAATCGTATTCTTGCCCCTAGTTCTGCTGCCTTTGCCTTTGGTTTTGGTCTCCTTTGTCCAGAGCACAAGCCCTCTCACTGTGCCCGCCTTCCCTCCCTGCAGCTCCAGAAAGCCGTGGGCCCGGAGATCACCAAGACAGACTTGGTGCCCGCCTTCCAGAACCTGATGAAAGACTGTGAGGCCGAGGTGAGGGCCGCAGCCTCCCACAAGGTCAAAGGTTGGTGCTGGCGACCAGAACACAGCAAGCGGGCGGGTGTCCGTGGGGCTGGAGGTGGAACCAGGACACAGGCCTCACGTCCCCCTTTCCCTCGCCCTCCGCAGAATTCTGTGAAAACCTCTCCGCTGACTGCCGGGAGAATGTGATCATGACCCAGATCTTGCCCTGCATCAAGGTAACGGGGCAGACGGGAGCTTGCCAGAAAGAAGGGGTGGGTGTGGGGCTTTAGGGACAGCCGGATGCAAACTGAGTTCCCAGCCCTCTGGACTGGACCACCTTGCGTTTGAAATATTTGGGGACCTGAGGGGAGGCAAAATAATTCCCCTGGTGGCCTGAGCTGTCCCTGCTCCAGAGTGACGGGGGGGGAGAAGGTGGGGGGAGGCTGTGTTCAGGCTTTGTAGGATTTGGAGTTACTTGGCCACTAACCCTTGGCTGTCCCTTCTCCCTCCCTCCCAGGAGCTGGTGTCAGACGCCAACCAACACGTCAAATCGGCCCTGGCTTCGGTCATCATGGGCCTCTCTCCCATCCTGGGCAAAGACAACACCATCGAGCACCTTCTGCCCCTCTTCCTGGCTCAGCTGAAGGACGAGGTGAGGGCACCAGACGGGCTCTGGAACTTGTGGGTTTGCAGACAGTCAGCTGTCTTCCGAGATCGGCCAGGAATCTCCTGGGATCTCAGCACACACCCAGATCTCTGATGAGTTCAATGCTTCAGGCCATGAAGGCCTGTGCGGTCACCTGTCCACTTATTAGGCAGTTATCTGTCATGCTCTTTTCCTGGGCATCGAGAGCACCAAAAAAGTAGTGATACTTCTTTAAAAATATGTTTTTATTTTTTTTATTATTTTTTTAAAATATATTTTATTGATTTTTTACAGAGAAGAAGGGAGAGAGGGATAGAGAGCTAGAAATATCGATGAGAGAGAAACATCGACCAGTTGCCTCCTGCACACCCCCCACTGGGGATGTGCCCGCAACCAAGGTACATGCCCTTGACCGGAATCGAACCCGGGACCTTTCAGTCCGCAGACCGATGCTCTATCCACTGAGCCAAACCGGTTTCGGCTGTTTTTATTTTTTTAAATGTTTTTATTTTTTAGAGGGGAAAAGGGAAAGGGAGAGAGATAGAAACATCGATGAAAGAGAAATATGTGCCTCCTGCACATCCCCTACTGGTGATGGAGCCTGCAATCCTGGGTCATGCCCTGATTGGGAATTGAACCCCTGACTTTTTGGTACATGGGTTGGTGCTCTACCACTGAGCGACACTGGCCAGACACTAAGACAGTTTTTATCCTTAGAGATCTTCAGTGGGCCAGTTCTTGGGAATATGCCAGACTATGTGCCTTTTCTTATAAGTTGCTTCACATACTTTCTGAAACATAGGTGGGGGTCTGTATATATAATACATATATATATATATGTATTATAAGTCAGTGCTCAGGAGTTCTTTATTCCATTGTTCATTCTTTCAGCAGAAATGTATTGGACACCTGTTATGTGCCAGAGAGTATGTTGGTTACCGGAGAGAGGAGAGTCAATGAGACATGTTCCTTATGGAGCTCAAAGGCTAGCAGAGAGGATAAAAGTAATAGAAATGGTCATGATAGCCAGGCTGGTATGGCCCAGTGGTTAATCACTGACCTGTGAACCAGGAGGTCATGGTTCAATTCCTGTTCAGGGCATATGCCTGGATATCGGGCTTGATCCCCAGTCAATGATTATCTCCTATCCTTGGTGTTTCTCTCTCTTCCTTCCTCTCTGAAATCAGTAAAAAATGTACTTATTAAGGAAAAAAAGAAATGGTCATGGTAAGCCCCCATGTGTTCAGCCCTTTGTGGAGCAGACACTGTGGCAGGCACTTGAATAGCTTCCCCCGACCTTTGATGCTAGATGGATGTTCCATATCACAGGTTGATACCCGGAAAGGTTAAGTCCTGGGCCAAAGTGCTCCCAGCTAGCTAACAGCAGAGGGGGGTAATTGCATGTCTGTTTTCTCCAGGGTTTCATATTTTTGCACTGTGATTTCCTATAAATCCTTCAAACTGTCTGAACATTAAAAAAAATGTTTGTATTGATTTCAGACAGAGGAAGGGAGAGAGAGAGATAAAACCATCAATGATGAGAGAGAATCATTGATTGGCTGGCTCCCTTCATACCCCATACTGGGAGGTGGAGCCCGCAACCTGGCCATGTGCCCTGACTAGGAATTGAACCATAACCTTCCAGTTCACAGGTCAGTACTCAACCACTGAGCCACACCAGCTGGGCTGCCTGAACATTTCTTGTGCTGCTATTCTGAGATTTAAAAAGCTGCTTTCACCTAATCCTCGAGCTTGCTTTTCACGGGCCTTTAATGTGTCCCCAGGGCCGGGAGCTGGGCCTGGGCAGCACTGGGTCCTCGGGAGATGTTTGCCATACAGAGCAGGTGCAGCTCAGCGTTCTCCCCCCGTCCTGGCTCCCCATGCACAGTGCACCCCCTCAGACCCCTCCTGTCCCCTCAGTGCCCAGAGGTGCGGCTCAACATCATCTCCAACCTGGACTGCGTGAACGAGGTGATCGGCATCCGGCAGCTGTCCCAGTCCCTGCTCCCCGCCATCGTGGAGCTGGCTGAGGACGCCAAGTGGCGGGTGCGGCTGGCCATCATCGAGTACATGCCGCTGCTGGCTGGGCAGCTGGTGAGTGAGCGGCAGGACCCAGCACGCTGCCCCGGGGAGGAGCTCCCAGCTCTGGTTCCGGTGCTGGGTGACGCGCTGTGACCGGAACCTGAAGGCTGGGAGGGCTGTGGGGAGTGGGAGGAATAGAACTGGATTAGGAAGAGAAGGGAAGGGAAAGGAGCCCCGGGTGAAGCTGTCTGGGGGTGAGTGTGGGGGTGGTTCCTTGGGTGTTTGCTGGAAACTACCGAGTCTCCCTCATCCCTCACCTCCTTTTCTCCTGCAGGGGGTGGAGTTTTTTGATGAGAAACTCAACTCCTTGTGCATGGCCTGGCTTGTGGATCATGGTGAGTAGCTCCAGTGGCTGGAGAGGGGCAGGGGGAGGGGTGCTCCAGGAAGACGGTGGCAGATTGGCTGGGGCCGGTGCGGGCCGTGGGAGGCTGGAGTCACTCTCCCACATCAGAGGCTCCTCAGAGGTGGACCAGTTCCCTTGCTTTTTAGAATCCCGGGGGAGTGCATGGTGGGAGGGGGCCATAGCACTTTTCCCAGGGGCGGTCTGGTATAGTGAACAGTCCCAGGGTCACTGAGGAGACAGCCCTGGGTTTGCCTTTTACCGCCTGGCTTTTGAAGCTTAAGCAAGTCACCTACCACACTCCTGTGAGACCAGGGACTTCTCATCCAGCGGTTTAGGGCTCATTGTTCTCACTAAGACTGGTGAAAATAAAAGTTTGTCTGTATCGGGCACCATTCCAACTTCTGCACATTTAAATCCTTGCCTGGGCTCAGCCATTCCTTTTGTTTTTAATATGTTTTTATTGTTTCAGACAGAGGAAGGGAGTGGGATAGAGAGAGAGAAATATCAATGGTGATGAGAATCATCGATTGGCTGCCTACTGCGGGCCCCTACTGGGGATCAGGCTTGCAGCCCAGGCATGTACCCTGACCAGGAATCAAAGCATGGCCTCCTGATTCATGGGTCAGTGCTCAAGCCCAGTCAGGCATGGGCACATCACTGCTTGAAGCCCATTGGCCCATCTGTAAAAAAGGATAATAATGGCCGAAACCGGTCTGGCTCAGTGGTAGAGCAAAGGTCCCACGTTCGATTCCGGTCAAGGGCATGTACATTGATTACGGGCACATTCCCGGTGGGGGGTGTGCAAGAGGCAATTGGTCGATGTTTCTTTCTCATCGACGTTTCTAGCTCTCTATCTCTCTCCCTTCCTCTCTGTAAAAAGTCAAAAAAAGAAAAAGAAAAAAAGAATGAAACTCATCCGCTAAAAAAAACAAAACGAGGACAGTAATGGAAGCTTGTCTGGAGGCTGTTGAGAGGCACTGCAGGAAAGCAAAGCCCACATTTAGCCCTTCGTGAGCCCTTCCGTCCTCTGGGAGCCATCGGGTCCCCTGCAGCCTGAGACCCAGGGGCTGCTCCGGAGGCAGCAGTGAGCGTGGCTGTCACCCGCATCAGTCCTTCACCGCCCTCTGCCTCTCGCCCTCTTGCAGTCTATGCCATTCGAGAGGCGGCCACCAGCAACCTGAAGAAGCTGGTGGAGAAGTTCGGGAAGGAGTGGGCCCACGCCACGATCATCCCCAAGGTCTTGGCCATGTCTGGGGATCCCAACTACCTGCACCGCATGACCACCCTCTTCTGTATCAATGTGAGCACTCCCGCCTGGCAGAGGGAGGACCTGGCAGAGGGAGGATGGGGGTCCTCAGGATGGGGAAGTGGTAGGGACTGAGTTGCAGGATGAGTCCCTGGGGAACTGCTGGCCAGAGGTTGCACGTGCCCTTCCCCCACCCCCATCAGGACCTCGGGGTGGGAACCCCAGGACAAGGGAGACGTGGCCCACTGAAGCAGTGATAGCCAGACCTTTCTTGGCACCCTTTCATTTCCCACCAACGTGCGTGTGTGTTCATTCATGGTAGGAGGGGGGAGTGTGCAGGCTCTAGAAACGGGCCTGGTTTTGAATTCTAGCCCTGCTAGGGGTCAGCAGTGCACCGTGGGAAACGGACCTGACCGCGAAGGGCTTGCTTTTCTCACCTGGAAAGGGTTCGTGCTGGCGGTCACGGCACCTTACTCATCAGCCTGTGCCAACAGCCCGGCCGTCCATGCAAAAGGCTCAGGACCGTTATGCTGTTCAGAGCAAGTGCTCCTTTCTAGTCATTTCAGGAAACCATCCACGTAGCTAGAAATGAAAGGACGACATTTAAAAGCTGTTGTAACTGTGTGGTTAGATCATTTCTATCCGTGCCTCACTGAACTGAGGAAGGGATCCCGGAGGTTAGGAATCAGGGCCCGTGCCCAGAGGATGAAGGGAAGTCTGCGGACGGAGATGGTCCGGGAACCTGGCCTGAGAGATTCCAGGGCAGGGAGACAATGGTGTTAGGAGGGTGTTAGGTGACACGGGGCTTCAGAATAAACTGTCCCCAGGGTGGGTAACTGGGTTCAGAGTCCCCATGTTCCTCAGCTTTACCCTCAGGCCTGGTGGCCACCGAGTTGGCCTGGTCGGAGGAAGGAGGAAATGGGCGGTAGCCAGGAACTTCGGATAATCACCCCTCTGCTTCTCCCTGACCCGCAGGTGCTGTCTGAGGTCTGCGGGCAGGAAATCACCACCAAGCACATGCTGCCCACGGTGCTGCGGATGGCCGGGGACCCCGTCGCCAACGTCCGCTTCAACGTGGCCAAGTCCCTGCAGAAGATAGGGCCCATCCTGGACAACAGGTGAGGCTGGACCGGCCCTTCCGCTCCAGCAGCGCCAGCTGGGGGCGCCTTCATTTTTAATCCTCAGCCATTGACTCACTGTGACTCTGCTGCAGTGAGAAAGTGAGCTGTTGGCAGAATATTCAAAAAGCCCGTGGGACAGGTTCAGGGACACGAGAAAAGACCTATGTGTGTGTCTTGTCACTGCAGTTCAGGGGGGAAACAGGTGTTCTCCATAGATGGCTGGGTCAGTTTGGTATGCACGTGGGGGGCAAAAACCTCCTGCCTGAGGGCATAAAAAAAAAAGTAGAGCCCTAGCCAGTTTGGCTCAGTGGATAGACCGTCTGCCTGCAGACCAAAGGGTCTCAGGTTTGATTCTGGTCAAGGGCATGTGTCTTGGCTGCGGGCTCCTCCCAGGCCTGGGCCCTGGTCAGGGCTCCTGTGCAGGCGGCAACCAATTTTGATGTGCTTCTCTCATATTGATATTTCTCTCTGTCTTTCCTTGTCTTTTCCACAGTCTCTAAAACTCAATGGAAAAATATCCTCGGGGTGAGGATTTAAAAAAAAAAAGAAATTTAGAGATAACAGATCAGAATCAGAAAGTTAAAAAAAAAGAAAGATCTGCCCACCTGGTGTTGCTCAGTGGTTGAGCATCTACCCATGCACCAAGAGGTCACTGGTTCAATTCCTAGATGCCCAGGTTGTAGACCTAATTCCCAGTAGGAGTGTGTAGGAGGCAACGATCAATGTTCATCAGAATTTCTTTCTCTCCCCCTTTCTATCTAAAATCAATAAAAACATTAAAATAATAATAAAGATCAGGAAGAAAGTATCAGGAAATATTCTCAAGACTTAACAGTAGGTACATATTTGTTAAAAAATTCACCAAAAGAGCCGAAACCGGTTTGGCTCAGTAGTAGAGCGTCGGTCTGCAGACTGAAAGGTCCCGGGTTCGATTCCGGTGAAGGGCATGTACGTTGGTTGCGGGCACATCCCCGGTAGGGGGTGTAAAAGAGGCAGCTGGTCGATGTTTCTCTCTCATTGATGTTTCTAGCTCTCTATCTCTCTCCCTTCCTCTCTGTAAAAAAATCAATAAAAAATATATATTTTTTAAATCACCAAAAGAAAACATGAATAATTGGCCTTCAGCCCTAGGTGGTTTAACTTAGTGGATAGAGCGTTGCCCTGCGAACTGAAAGCCTGGTGGGTCCTGTGATCCTCCGCTCCACTTGCCCAGACTGCCTGACCACCCCGTGCCTGTTCTGGGCCCCGGAGACTTCTTAATTCCCATGTTTGCCTGTGTTTGTGGGCATCTCTTGCCTGGGCCTCTGCCCCCCCTGTGCCCCCTCCCTGCCTGGCTCACCCATCCCCATGCCCCCCCTTGTCCTTCCAGCACACTGCAGAGCGAGGTGAAGCCCATTCTAGAGAAGCTGACCCAGGACCAGGATGTGGACGTCAAGTACTTTGCCCAGGAGGCCCTGAGTGGTAAGGCTTTGAGTTGTTGGGGACCCCAGTGGGAGGGTGGTTTGCAAGGAAGCACGTAGCAGCTCCTGGCAGGGGGAGATGCAGGAGCCTTACTGTGCATCTGACTCCCTCCTGTTCCTGTTCCCCCAGTTCTGTCTCTCGCCTGATGCTGGAAGAGGAGCCAACACCGGCCTCGTGTCCAAAACCCCACCACGTTCCCTCCTCGGGAGCCAGTGGGGGCCTCTGGCTGTCACTCCCTGTGCATGGTCTAACCCCAGGCCCCTACCCCAGCACGGTTCCTCCTCTCCCCAGCCTGGGAACCCGACTTCTTACTGTCCACCTCCCGAGGAGCTGGGGGAGCACCAGGTGGGACAGGGCAGCGACCCTGGGAGGAAGGGGCAGCCACTCCCTCCTCGGGGGAAGGGAGGTGAGCGTCCCAGGTCACTGGTTCCTGCTGCTGTCATAGGGCCCCCTGCCCGGTCCACTTCTCCACCTTCCTCCCTCCCCCCAGTGGTCTTTTGTGTCAACGGTGCCGTTTTTATTTTATTCCTTTCTTTTTCCCTTTTCACAGAGAAATAAAGATATAGAAATAGCTGGTCCTCTGGTCTTCGTCACTAACATGGCGGGGAGGGGCTCCATGTCAGGGCCTGGTCTCTGCCCTTCCCTCCGGGGAAGTCCATATTACAGGGCATGGGGTTCTGTGGGGAGTGCAGCTGGCGGTGGAATAGAGGGTCCATGGGGTGGTGCCGGCCAGCAGAGTCCTCTGGTCAGTTTGGTATCACAGAATTCGGCGGAGTATGTGGTGGTTAAGGGCAGGTGCCTTTAACCAGACAGCCTGGTCTAAATACCACGTTCTTTCAGTTGATAGCTGCGTAACCGTGAGTAGGTTACCCAGTCTCTGAACTTAGTTTTGTCTTTTGTAAAATGGAGATAACTACAGTCTAGGGCGGTTGTGAAGACTAAATGAGTTCCTGGGTGCCAAGTGGGTCACAGTGCATGGCACAGGGAAGCAGGGGTCCGGGAGCTCTAACCGGCCAGCGAACCTCCCGTGAGCTGGGCCCTGCGCCTGGGAAGGTCTCCGGATTCCTAACGGGCTGTAATGGAGCGGGGGGGTTGCTGTGACCAGACAGAACCAGCTGGCCCTCAATGTCCATTCTCCCATTTCTTTACTGATAGAGATGGCTGCTTGATTTCTGGTATTTTCTCAGGCCTCTTGAAATTCGGTGTGGCATGGTAACTAAATTCTGGCACAAGTATGTGCAGCTTCTATTTTTTTTTTAATGTATTTTATTGATTTTTTTATAGAGAGGAAGGGAGAGGAATGGAGAGCTAGAAACATCCATGAGAGAGAAACACCAATCAGCTGCCTCCTGCACACTCCCTTACCGGGGATGTGCCCGCAACCAAGGTACATGCCCTTGACCTGAATCAAACCTGGGACCTTTCATTCCCCAAGCCGACGCTCTATCCACTGAGCCAAACCGGTCCAGGCAAGGAGGGTATATTCTACCTCCCTGTCCCCTTGCTCCTGCTCATCCCTCCCCACATCCCTGCAGGGGCGTGGCTACCTGGCCCCGCCCCCACCGCGGAGCCGCTCCGCTCAGGCCCGCCCCCAGGGAGGCGCATGCGCAGTCCTGGCAGCCGGAAGCGGCTGCGGAGGGGCGGGTGGCGGCCCCTGAGGAGGTGTCTGTGCTTTAAAGCCGCTGCTCCCGGCCCCGCCCCGCAGGGAGGGCTGAGGGCGCCGCGGGCGCTGAAGTCCGTGTGGGAGCCCCGCCCGGAGCCCCTCCCGGCGGTGAGTGCGCGTCCCGGCGGCTGCGCAGTGGAGGCGCCGCGTTCCTTTGGGGGAAACTGAGGCCCGGCCCGCGGTCTGTCCGCCGGTGGCTGTGGGCCCGCCCGCCGCGTGGTTTTCCCGCCGAAAACCGTCCCCGGGGCCGCCGGGGCCCCCGCGGGGCTGGAGGTCCGGTCAGTGGTTCCCGCCCTTTGCCCTCCCCGCCCGGCGCTTCCCGCCCCAAGAGCCCGGATGGCCCGGCCTGGGGGTCCGCGCCCGCCCTCCTGGGCCCCATTAGTCAGGTCTGAGTGCCGGGGGCACAGGGCCAGGGGGTGGGCTCAGGGGGACGCGGTGTCCCCGGAGGAGGGACCTGCCCCAGGGAGGGCTCTGTGGGAGCGGGGACTGCGGGGCGGGGCCGGGCTGGGGCCGGAGAGGGAGGGAGACAGACCCGGAGAGGAGGGGGGCGGGGAGGGGGCCACAGAGAGGCCATGGGGTGAGGGAGGGACTGGCCGGCGATGGTGGGAGTGAGGGGGTAACTGGGGAAAGCAGCCTGAGGAGGAAGGAAGTGGAGAAATAGGGGGAGGGGGAGCCCAGAGAGAGGCAGGGGAGCTGAGAGGGAGAGGGTCCTGGTGAGCAGAAGGGGGGCCGCACAGGAGGAGAGACTTAAGACGGAGACACTGGTTCAGAGGAGACTTAGGAGAGCAGGTGCAGGGACAGAAAGGGGGGTTTAGGGATGACACAGCAGAGGGAGAGGCAGCACTGAGCGCCATCCAGCTGTGCGTAACAGGACAGACTATCAGAGGCTGCAGAGGGGACGCAGGCATGGGAAGAGAAAGACACATATAAGGAAATTAATATCAGTTCTACACATTAGAGAAAAAATTACAAACTGCATTTGGAAGAGCTTTAGGCAGGATGAATGTTCAAAGCATCAGAAATACAGACTGGGGATGGTGTTAAAATATAAAGAAGAGGACAATATATTTAAACGAGTTAAGCATTACTAAACATCTATCGATATATATAAAAAAGCCTAAACAAGCATTATGATCAAACGACCTGTCAACACGTAGTTATGACACGCACTGAACACCAGGGGGCAGCCATTGAACGCAGGAGTTGCCCCTGGTGGTCAGTGCCCTCTCCCAGGAGTAGTGCATCTCAGCCAGAAGCTGGGCACACAGCTGGCGAGATCCTCCGACCTCCCCCTCTCTCACCTTTAGGACAACACTAAGGATTTCAGATATTCCCTGAGGGCTCCCATGCTATGAGAGGGCTATGGGTGGGGCATCATTGGTTACTGAGGTGCTAAATGATTGGAAGGTGGGACAGGGATTAGCAGGAAAGTTGCAGGACACCTTTGTGAGAGTGGGTAGTAGGCTTTGTTTAGGGTGGGTAAAGGGATGTGCTCTGTTTAGTTTGGGGGTGTCAAGGCAGCAGTTCACATTCTTATTTCTGTAGGACTTCATGGATATCTTTGGAAGGAAAGACACATGAAGACAGACACTAGAACATTCCCTGTGTGGTCTCCATGTAGGAGCTCATTGTTCCTCTCCCGTGACAAAGGACAAGAGGTTGTGGTCTTAACCTCATTTCTAGGTCCTTCTGCCTGTGCGTGTGAGGTGAACTGATTAACAGGCTGCGTGGTCACCTCTGAAGGTACATTCTGTGACTCCTCAACATATTGTAATCTCAGAAAATAAGCCGGACCCCGATCAGGACCAGGACCAAATGGCTGCTTCTCAGGTAAAAGATGTGTCCTGGGTCAGAGACTATGTTTGCTTTTCCTCTAACATCTGTGATATATTTCTCTTTCCCTTCCCACACCTGAGTCTCCTCTGTGCCTGTTACACGCTGTCCTGTTACACACAGCTGGTTGAATCAGTGCTGCTTCTCCCTCTGCCCCTAGACTCCCCTTTCTGTCCCTGCACTTGTTCCCCCCAACTCTTTTCTTCCGAACCAGTGTCTCTGTCTGAAGTGTCTCCTGTGTGGCCCCCACCCTGCTCACCAGGACCCTCTCCCTCTCAGCTCCCCTTCATTCCTCTGGGGCTCCTTCCTCTCCATATTTCTCTACTTCTGAAGTTCCTGCCTTTCCAGGTTTTTTTCGTTTCCTTATTTCTTTCCTTTGTGTTTGCTTTTTAAAACAAAGGACTTACTTTTTAAAAAAAAAAAAAAATATATATATATATATATATATATTTTTTTTTTTAATATATTTTATTGATTTTGTACAGAGAGGAAGGGAGAGAGATACAGAGTTAGAAACATCGATAAGAGAGAGTCATCGATCAGCTGCCTCTTGCACACCCCCTACTGGGGATGTGCCCGCAACCAAGGTACATGCCCTTGACCGGAATCGAACCCGGGACCCTTCAATCCCCAAGTCGACGCTCTATCCATTGAACCAAACCGGTCCCGGCTAAAAAAATATATTTTATTGATTTTTTACAGAGAGGAAGAGAGAGGGATAGAGAGTTCGAAACATCAATGAGAGAGAATCATCGATCAGCTGCCTCTTGCACAGCCCCTACTGGGGATGTGCCCACAACCAAGGTACATGCCCTTGACCGGAATCGAACCCAGGACCCTTCAGTCCCCAGGCCGAGGCTCTATCCACCGGGCCAAACCGGTTTCAGCCGAAGGACTTACTTTTTTTTTTTTCTACAGATCATTGGCTTTTTCGTGGGAGTTTTAAACAATCCGGCCTTGATTCTTTAAATTTTCATTATATTTTATAATCATATCACTGACAAACCCTACATTATCACTTTTTCTATTTTCTAGAAAGTTCTCAAGAATTATATTATTAATATATGTTCCGTTACATTAAGTTTCTACAACATAACTCTGCACTAATGACACATAAAAATTTTGAAAGAAATGTACTAGTAAGAAAAATTAGTTCCCCCAGGCTGATGTGGATCTGTGGTGGAGATTTTGATTCCTGGTTTAGGACAAGTAGGTCCTGGGGACCTGTGACAGGCAACCAATCCATGTGTCTTTTCCACATTGATCTCTCTCTCTCTCCCTTCCCCTGTCTTCCCTTTCATGGCTCTGTGTCCCTGCCATCCACTTTTGAAAAGTCAATGCTAAAAATCTCAGGTGAGGATTTACAACCACAAAAAGCAAATAATAGGTCTAACTTGTTTTGTATCCTTATGTTTCACTTTTTATCCTCCTATATAATTAAGGCCTAGAATGCTAAGTGTCCAGTTATCTAGTCAGCCATTCAACCAATCAAAGTGTAATATGCTAATGATATGCTAAGGCTGTTCAACCGCCAGCTATGATGTGCACTAATCATGAGGGGGCATAGGCTCTGGCTGGTAGGTTAGCTTGCTGCTGGGATCCATCTGAATGGCATGAGCAAGATGAGCCAAATATGCTCTGGAGCCCTCC